CACCGTGCTGGGCTCCCCGCACCGCGCCGTGGCCGCCTGGCTGGGAGGCTCCATCATGGCATCCCGGGATTCCTTCCAGAGTCTGTGGCTCAGCCGCCGGGAGTACGAGGAGGAGGGCCCGTGGGCCATCTACAAGTACCATCTATGAGCATATAAAGTTCTGGTTCTGTGGGCTTTGAGTGCTGTGGCGTGCTTTAGGCCCAGGGAGGTGTGCAGAGGATGGGGTCCCGGCAGGGGTTTGGGGTTGGGGCCCCTGGCACACCTGAGTCACACCCGCCTCCGCGCCCTGCCACTCCCCAGGTCCCGGCAGTCTCTCCCTCCTAGAGCCCCCGAGCCCCTTGGCATTGGCCCTGGTCTAACCTGACCTTTATTGCACCCCAAGGGCAAACACAGAGAGTGGCTGCTGTGGGTTTTGCCCCGTTGCCCTGGCGACAAGTGCAATTACCCTTGATTGCCAGCTGGTTGCCATGGCAATTTCAAACATAATGTAATAACCCACACAGCCTGGAGTGAGTCATGGTGGGGGCAGCCCCTTCCCCTAGCTCCTGAGGAAAAGACTATTTGCCCTCCCCCATCCTGGGCTCTATTCAGGGGGCTGGGGCCGGCAACATAGACGGCAGCCACACAGTCCCATGGTGGCTGGGAACCGGGAGCATTGCCTGCCCCCTAGGGACAGTGCCTATCAGGGTGTGGGCTTCTTGGGGGAGCTTGCCTGGGAGTGAGTGATCGCCTATCATTGGACTTGGCTGGGGCTCAGTGCTGATTGGCAGGGATGTGGGAGTGCTGGCCTTTGGTGTCCTGGGACAGGAAGTGGGGGTGAGGGAGCAGATGAGGCCTGGCTCTGGGGGTGGCGTGGAGGGGTACACCTGAGCTGTGGATGGGACTCGGGCCTGGTTTGTGGGTTCTGTGGATATGGAGGCTCACACCTCATCCTGCCTCTCTGACTGCCCAGCCTGAGTGAGAGCCAGAATAGTCAACTTTGGGCTCCCTTCTCCCCTTTGGCCCCCCAGCCCAGGCAGCTCCCGCCTCCCCAGGAGGTCTCATAGGGGCTACTGGGCAATGCCAATGCCCATGCCAATTGCCCATGCCAATTGCCCCTGCTCTTGTCCCAAACTCTGCCCTGCACTGGGGCCTCCCGCCGTCCCTCTGGCCAGGGTGGTGGCTAGAAGCCACGGCTCCTGACCTCGTCTGGCTCTGAAAGGGGGGTAGAAATGGACCTGTCCCCCGAGCCCGTGGTCTGGCAGAGTTGAAGGGGTGGCGTGGAGCTGGTGTGGCTACTTCACCCCTGGAGGACAGCTTGAGATCGAGCCAAGACGAGGAAGCCCTCCTCTGCCTGAGCTGCTCTGGCTGGAGGCTGGAGGCTGGAGGCTGGAGGCTGGAGGCCGGAGGCTGGAGGCTGGAGGCCGGAGGGATGAGCTGTGGCCCAGCCCAGCCCTGGGCTCTGTCTTCAGGTTGCTCGCTGCACAAAAGACAAAGACGGGTTTCATCTCCCGCCACAAACACACAGGCACACGCGCACATACACACACACACACCTGAGCGTGAGGGGCTGCGCTAAGTGTAGAGACTAGAAACAGCCAATAGCATAGGGTTACACAGCCCTGCCCACCGCCAGCCATGGTCCGGTCTCTTCCCATTTCCTGTCCCCACACCCTGACTCAGTCTCCACAGTCCTGAGGCCTGTGTCATACAGGAAGGGACCAGAGTCCCCAGGGACCCGTGGCTCCAGGGACTAGCTACCGCATCCATGCGCACACGTGAGCGAGCACGCCTGAGTGCACACAGAATGCAGACACACGTGCCCCCAGGCACCACTGCACACACAGTGCCGTTGCCTTCTCCGTCAACAACAGAAGAGCACGCGCACACACACACACGTGTGCACACACCCTGCCACGTGCTCTCACCCACAGGCACGTGGAGTGTGCACAGGACCCAGAAGGGGTGGAGCCCTGCCAGCAGCCAGCCGGGCCCCAGCAGCCACCTCTTCCCCTGCCGCTAACCCCCATGCCAGCCTCTGCACGCCTAAATATGCATGCCCTTCGGGAAACAGAAAACATGGTGACACGTGTGACACGTGTGACCTGTGTGAGGTCAGCAGCCCATTGCCCAGCTGTCCATAGAGCTCGGAGAACCACGGTTTCAGGGACAGCGGGCGGACAGCAGGAAGGACCGCGTTCATTCTGCAGACAGAACTAAGCCTCCTGGGAGGAGACACGGGTTCTGTGCTGCAGGCACCAGCTTGCCGGCAGATGCCTGCCCACAGGTGGCATCGGGCTGCCCTGGAAGAGGTGACCCGAAGCCCGGCAGGGTGGGGAGGGGAGGAAGGTAGCCAGGGCAGTCATTCCCCAGGCAGCCTTACCTTCCCCACGCGGGGAGTCACTCCCCTCGGCATCCAAGGGGAGACTCAACATGGCAAAGGGTTGGAGCTGACCCCTCCCAAGATGGGGTTGGCAGGCTCCCTGGGAGGGGTGGGCTGAGTGGAGAAGCCTAAGTCTGCCCTCCAGATAGAGGCCTCGGGGCTTGTGAGGGGAACGGGCCAGCGTTGGCCCACTTGCCTCCCAGACAAGGGACAGAGGATGGCCACGGACTTCCCTTAGCGCTTCTGCCGGGCAGCTCTCAGCCCCTCCGGCCGGGCCCGCCCCGCAGTCCGCCCAAGCCGTGCCGGGCTCCACTGTCTGGGCTCGATCTCCAGCTGCCCTCTGGGTGGAGGAAGGTCCGTGTCCCCAGAGCCCAGCCCAGGCCGCTGACGGTGACGCTGCGCTGGCGTGTTTGAGGGTGACATGACTGGGAAGAAAGCGGAGGCCACACCACGCCGTAGGTGACTCCTCTAGTTTGGGGAATTCAGGGCCATAGAGGGGAGGGCAGACTGGGCCACCCATCCTGGCCCAGACTTGGGGACGGCAAAGGCTGTGGCCTGGCGGGAGTGGGGGTTGGGGTGGAAGGCGAGTCTGCCTGGGGGTCTTGGGGCCTCACTGGCCACCTGCGCCGGGTGCCCCCCCCCGTCTTTATACTCTGGCCCGGAGGCTGGTCTGTGCTGCGCTCGCCCTGGCGCGGCGCACTCGGTGCTTCCCCGCGGGTTTCACCCTTTGGGCTCGCGCCTCCCTG